TATTATTATTATTATTATTATATATTTCAGGTTGTATTGATGGAGATAAGAATTGCCAATACTGGGCAGGGATTGGAGAGTGCGAGAAAAACGCTGATTGGATGAAAGCAAACTGCAAGAAGAGCTGCAAACAGTGTTAAATGTAATGCACGTCTAARAAAACGTAGATTAAATTAATCGTTCACCACATGCTTTGTTCATTAGATTGTTTTAGTTTCTTTAATTTTTTTTTTGCTGTTCGTTTGTTCGTTTGTTCTGATGTTGTTGTTGTTGTTGTTGTCGTTCATAGTTATTTATCCAATGAGCTATTACAAAAACGAGGAAGGGAATGGGTCCTAGATTGACTGGTAAGCCAATATTTCCTTTCACAGTTCCCTGCGCCATCAGAGATTATTAAATTATTAGATTAGTCGCCCTCACAGTTCCCTGCGCCATCTTAAAAGGTAGCCATGCTTTTGTATCGAAGCGAGACGAACGGTTAACTTGCAATGATAGAGACATGTGGATAAATGTTCAAGGTGTTTWAAAAAGGTCTCTATATTGCAAGCTCACCGTTCGTCTCCCTTCGATGCAAAGCACGGCTACYTTTCAAGATGGCGCAGGGAACTGTGAAGGCGAYTAATCAATAATCTAATTTGTCTTGATGTAACGTTTACCCATTTCAGACCATGTGTCACGTGTTACGAGAATAGGATTCTTCGTTTGAGTTATATATAATATTCATGTGTCTTCTCGCCAAAACCGTTAAAGAAAGAAATGATACTCTAGGGAATGCCATGTGGCGTGAAATGAGAAAACATTACGCCCAAGGCAGAGTCTACTGATTAGTCACTCACAGAAAGCGTTTAATCCCACAAGATATTCATGCCMAAATAGACCATGAATAGAAAAGGAAAAAGTGGTATAGTACTGTCACGACTCTTTTACTCCGACGAAGAACTAGCGTCCGAAACGTCAGTAAATTTTTCATCTTTTTACGGTGTAAAATTTACCCTTTTATCATTACTGTTTCACTATAAACACCGACGCAGCTCACACTAGCTTTTAGATAGTTAACTCTTACTGTCAMGTCTTTAAGGTTTGATGCCTGAACTCGGCCACATCAAATGCGTCATAGAGTTGCTTGTTAGTTCTCTCTTATGATTTACGGATATACTGCCGGGTTCCCCGGATGAATTCAGATTGAGTTCAGAATTCCTGATGAATTCAGTTGAAAAAGGGCCACCTTGTTCAAAACCCCAATTTATCGATACCCTGAAACAACCCTCTAGGGTGATCGATGGGGGCATAGATAACTCACAGCTTGAACACTGAAACAGCCTCTGGGCTGCGGGATCTCAGTCAGGTCACAGCTAACTCACTAACTCATAGATTGGACCCTGTAACAACCTCTGGGCTGATCTAAGTCAGGGCATGGCTAATTCACAGATCGAACTCTGAAACAACCTCTGGGCTGATCTAAGTC